AGGCCGATCTACGTGACATGGAGATGGATCCGAAGAGGCGCTGTGTTGTGATCGTGGGCGGCTTCAATTACGGCGAGAATGCTGAGGTGGAGGACCCCCTGGTTCCTGGAGGCGGGCGCAGGGCCGCCTCACACCCCCGCGGTCGCGCATGGGCACACTCGCTCAGTACTGCGACGGAGATGATCCCTCACAAACCGACACACTGGGCACCCAGGCTGGCAGATCGCCACCTCGATCGACAAGATATGGATTGGTTCCCCACGTTGGTTACTCACGCAGACCTATCAGCATGGGCAGGTGCATGGAGAGCCCCACGAGATGCACCTCGACGGGCTCTCGGACCACGCGATGTTCTCGGTGGCATGGACTCCTCGCCCACCGAGAAAGAGACCTACCACGGGTGTCATCAACCCTGTCCCGTCCTTCGTCGCTGAGAATCCGCGGTTCGGCGAGATGACCAGGAAGTACGAGCTCGCGGTCCCCCTGGATGGTCTCTCTCCTCCTGATCGGGTGCACTACCACACGAAGATCCTGCAGACTGCAGCGGCCGCCACCCGTGATGCCATTCTTCGTGGTGAGCCTGGTTTGCGGTCGCCGACGGCGCTGATCTGGAGACAACTTGGTCGAGCGATATCGCGGCAGGACATTCGGATGGCTGAAACCCTACTGCGCCAGCATGCATGGACAAGCCAGATGATCGAGCTTCGCCATCACCCAGGTCATGGCAGAACTCAAGTGGTGCTCCTCGACCCTCAGGGATTCTCTCGTCGTTACCGTTTGGCGCAACACCGTGAGCTGCAAGCGCTACTCCGCCAGCATCAGCATGACATAGACGGGGAACGGCACGAGTCCAACAGGGCAGCGCTGGTCAGGCAGCAGAGGGCCCTACGCCGACGTGCAGCCATCTGGGCGCCGTCGTCGGCCCGACGCTTCCTGGGGGGCATCGAGCTGGACGATGGCACGGTTGCGCGATCGGAGCAGGATATCCAGAGGGCATTCGCGAACTACTGGCGAGGCGTCTTCGGCGACGACGTGGTCAAACGGAAGCAGTCTGCGGAGGAGATGATGCGCAACCTTGCCACCAGCGCGAGCGGCGCCCCCATGACCTTCCAGGACGGCGTCATGGTACCCCTCCCACGAGATGCCCCTCGTGCTGTTCAGCGTCGGCGGGAACTCCAGGATGGCTATCTCCGACGCTATGGCATCCAGGGAGCTGACTGGGCCTCGATCGAGCCCCCCTCGGCACACACCGTGGCCTTGGCTCTCCGCAAGGCCCGCAAGTCGGCACCTGGCCCTGAAGGCCTCGCCGCTAAGGCCTGGCTCGCCATGCCGCTGGGGGTCGAGACGCTGGCGGAAGCAATGTCGTGGCAGCTTGAGGGCCTACCCATGCGCCAGGAGTGGAACTACTCCATCGCCGTCTTCCCCGCCAAGGGGACGCGTGCTGATGACCCTCAAGAAGTCCTCAGGCGCGCCGGTGAGACTCGGCCGCTGGCGCTGGAGAACACATCCAAGAAGGCCGTCATGTGGGCCCTCAACTCATGCATGAAGAGAGTGGCGGAGCGGCACTGCGTGGACACGCAGCGCGGCTTCATATGCGGGCGCAACTTTTGCGACAACATAGTCGAGCTAGACGCGCACTCCCGCGCGCTGTCCATGGCTGCGGGACGCGCCGACCCCCCCTTCCTCATCTCCTTCGACTGGGGCCAGGCCTTCCCGAGCATCGCGCAGGACTGGCTCTTCGGCTCGCTGCGCGCCATGGCCGCTCCCCAGGGACTCCAGGACGCGCTGAAGGTCAACTACGACGGAGTCGTCTCCTTAGCGGCTTCTCGCACGAGGGCGGCGCTCTACTCGGTGCGCTCGGGCATCCTCCAGGGCGACCCCGCCAGCGGCACGCTCTTCGTCCTCGCCGTCCACCCGTTCGGCCAGGACCTGAAGTCCAACCTGGGCTCCAAGCTTCGGGGCATTTCGAGGTGGTGCGCCGACGACCTGGGCGCGGCTGCGATGGCCCAGCGTGGGCTGCTCACGCTGGCACGAGTCTTCCGCGGCGCGAAGCTCCTGGCGGGACTGGTGATCAAGCCTGCGAAGTGTCGTGCCATCCCGCCGGGGGACCCACAATGTGCTGACGTGCGGGAGCGGGCGCGGGACTCCCTGGCGGCCGCGGACAAGGACTGGGAGGCGTTTCCAATCGTGGACCACCTCGAATACCTGGGCGTGCTGCTGGGCCCTGGTGTGACGCAGGAGGCTCAATGGCGTGCACCGATGAGGAAGTACTCCGAGCGCGTCGGGGAGATCTCCAGGAGCCGCGCGGACGTGCATGCGGCCATCCACCTGTACAGAGAGCGCTGCGTGCCCGTCCTTTCGTACAAGGCGCAGATGATGGAGGCCCCCAACTCTTTGAAGAAGCTCGAGCGGGGGAGACTGGCGCACCTGCTGCGCCTCCCAGGCAGCTTCCTGGGCGACGGGGAGTGGCACGAGCTCAAAACCGTCGGCGGCCCGCAGATCCCGTCCGCCATGACCCTGTGCGAGGCAGCCCTCGTGAGGGCGGCGGTGGTCACGCTGGGCTCCTGGCGCTCGGCTGCGCTGCAGCTCCGTGGGGCTGCGCTGCGGCACCTGCCACTGGCGCGCACGGTCCGCGGATGCCCGTGGCCCTGCTGGTGGCGATCTGAGGCCATCGCGACGACGCTGGAAAGAGCGGCGTCGAGCTGCGGGACGGGTCCACGCCCGTCGGCCGTGCGCGCCCTCCGCGCGGCCGCCTCCTGCGAGGCCCGCCGCAGGCAAATCAGCACTGCTGCAGAGGGCGAGCGGCCTGCTGCCCTGCGGCGTGTGCGGCCACAGTGTCTCCTTTACTCTTCCCTCCTCCGTTCGTACCTTCGCTCCGACCCTCGGCTCCCGGGCCTCCATCTCCGCCTGCAAGAGCGCCTCCAACGCTGGTTTGGGGTTCACGCTGCCGACGCGGGTGCGATCGACTGGTCTGCCGTCGCTGCGGTGATGCATCGCATCCCGCCTTCCTGGCGCAGTGCTTGCATCAAGACGTGGGGGGGGGCTGGATCGCCGAGTCCAGGATGCGCAACCCGTATAGGTGTTGCGTCTGGGGCTGTCCTGGGGCTCGCGACTCGCTGAAGCATTACTTTTGTTGGTGCGACCCGATGTATATGCTCGCCCGTAGACAATTAAGAGCTGACCTCCCCGCGCCCCCGTTTTTGGACCCCCTCCTGGCTCCGGGCCTGATCCACCCCTCCCCCGAGACGTTCAAATTCACTGCCTTTTTATTTTCATCTTTATCGGTTGGCTCACCAAGAGAGCAAAGCCCGCGCTCTCCCGTTTCATGATAATGATGCTCGTTCGCTCGCTCGTGCGGCACTTCAAGCAGTTGAAATGCCCCTCGGTGGTCAGCGCCGCAGGTGGCCCCGCCCCCAGAGGCGGTAGGTGGGAAGACACGCGGCCCCCCAGACGCTCCAACCTCCTCCTCCTCCTCCTCCCCCTCCTCCTCCTCCTCCTCAAGTTGCATGTGGGCTGCGCGCGCTGGCGCGCCTGCCAGCCTGCCCCGAGCCTCAGCGAGGCGCACTTGTGGGCAGCTGCCTCGCCTCGGGCGGTGGTGGCGAATCCGGGGCGAATCATGGGGCGCAGCGCTTCCCGCGGCCGTGGCGGCGGACCCTCCGGCAAGGACAAGCAGGTGAAGTTCCTTGAGGGGTGGTCGACTTGCCCTGGTTGCAAGACGTACGATTGGGACTATAAATGGGCAGCTGTGTCATGGAAGTGCAAGTGCGGTGCTCAGGTCAAGCGCCACAGGGCTTCTTCGCGCCGTCGAGGCGGTGATCGAGCCCTGGGCGTTGACCCTGCCGCCGCGAACTCCCTCGTACAGCCTGGCGACATCATGAAGGCGCTCACCGACTTGGCTGTTGAGAACCCTCCAGCACAGGTTCAGGCAGCGCTGGCAGTGGTCACTTCCCATGCGGAGGCCCAGACATCCAGCGCGGTGGACGTGGACCTGGAGGACGCCTTCCGCAAGGCGTCGGGGGAATGGAAGGACGTGAACCGGAGGCACGGTGCAGCCGTGGATGCCGTCGTGCGTCTGGAAGGTCAGCTCGCCGCCGCCAGGGAGCGCGAGTCGAACCTGGCCGTGATGCTGGTGGAGGTCACTGAGGCAAAGCAGCGCACGGCCGCCGCGATCGCGCAGGTGACGAAGACGGGCGACGGCAGCAAAGAGGCCAAGGGCACCGTTGTCGAGTCCGCCGAGGATGGTCTGCTCTTCAATCTTTCCTGGGACGAGGCGATCTTCCAGGACTTGAGCGAGCTGGGCCCCACCGAGCAACAGCAAATGGCAGATTTTCAGAAGTCCTTGCAGGAGCAGAAGGAACGGGTGGCCGGCGTCTCCACGGAGGTGAAGGAGAAGCTGGCGGCCGCTCGGGCACTTGCCCAAGCCCAGGCCGACAGGGCGCTCAAGAAGCGTAGGGCCGGCGAGGATGGGCAGGCGCACAAGACTAAGTCTCAAGACGCTGAGGCCAACCAGGCGGCTGGCGCCGCGGGCGCCTCAGGGTCTACCGGTTCGGCCGCAGCGGTCGACCCCGCCACGAAGGCCGCGCAGGTCAAGCTTGAGGCGGAGAAACTCTCGGCCGCCAAGATTGCAGTTGCTCGCCTGGCGGCGTTGGCCAAGCCCCTGGCGAAGCCGAAGACAGCCGAGACCTCCCCCCAGCCTGGCAGCCAAGGCGGCGGGGTGACCGCTTCGTGACTATCTGCCTCGCCGTGCAGTGCCCGTACGCGACCGCAGGCAGGGGAGAGTGGAGTCGGCCAGCCGTATTCCGCGAGCGCCTTGCAGTCGATTTTTTCTCTTCAAGGAGGTGGCAGTAGCGACGCTAGTCAGTTGGGCGACGAGCGGTTCGTTGGTGTGCGCCGGTTTTTTTGCTAATATATCTTGCATGGGGCCCCACACTTGGGGATATATTCAGCCCCGCGGCCGCTTCTTCGACGCGATGTGCTTCGCCGAGACCCACGTCCGCAAGGCGAAGAACCTGGTCAAGTGGCGACGGGACGCATCGGTCCTGGAGTGGCGTATCTTGGCCACGCCTGCTCGCGCTCAGGTGGGCTCGAGCGGCGCCGAGGGCGGCGAGTGGAAAATGTGCCGACGGGAAAACCGCGTCAACTCCATCGCTGCGCTCACCCCTCCGCCGAAGCTGCTCAGAGCCGCTGGGTCGGCGGACCTCGACGGCTTCCACGCTGCTGTTCTTCGTCGCCGAGGATGCAGCGTCGTCCTCGTGACCTTTTATGGGTTTTCTGGAGTTGGCTGGAGTGGGGCCAATCTGGGGAGATTTTCCAGGCTTGGTGCCTTCTTGACAGCCCTGCACCTGCCCTGGCTGCTCCTGGGCGACTTCAACTTGGAAAGCGACGTCATGCGCGCCAAGGGCTTCGTGGACCGCGTCCGGGGGAGGGCCCTCAAGGCTGACACCGCGTTCACGTGCGACGCGGGCAAGGTTGGCTCCCACATCGACTTCGGTCTGTGCTCCGAGAGCCGCCTGCCCTTCATCATCGGCGTTCGTGCCGTCCATGCTGTTCCCTGGAAGACGCATTGTGGCCTGGTGGCCCTTCGCGGGCGGTCCGAGCAGCTCATCTCGCGCGAGCTCTGCCTGGCGGAGCTGCTTCCCCAGGCTGAACGGCCTCAGCAAGCCAAGGTGCGCACCAGCTGTGCGACGAAGCGTGCGAAGCGACCCGGGCCGTCCAAGGTGCAGGAGAAGCTCGGTTCCATGTTTCCCCCGAGGTCGGGCGTCGAGGCGACGCAATCTACCGACGAGGGCTCGGTTGGCAGTGGCGGCAGCTGCTCGGAGGCGTCGGACTTCGGCTCGGACAGCGAGTGGGGCGACTGCGACTTCTCCACCGACGTCGAGGGCCAGCGCTCAGACAGGGGGGCCAGCGGGAGCACGCCCCACGTGCGCAGCCTCAGCACCTTTACCGAGAGTCCGTTGCTGGCGCGGCGGTCCACAGCTCTAGTCGACACAGTGCAGGCCTCGGGCCTCCATGTCGGCACGCCTCGCGACGAGGCCGACGACGCGGCCCTTCGCGGTCACCTTGGCGACGACCAGGACGTTTTACGAGACGCAGCTGGTGGGCCTCTCCTTGGAGCGGTTCTGGATGCTGTTGCGCGCGTTCCTCGGGGTGTTTGCGAGTTCGACGACTCCGACGTTGACTTCGACATGGATGCCGAAGCCAGGGTATGCACTGCTCAGCTGCGTGCCTAGCCAGAGAGTGCCAGCCCTGAGCGCCCCGCCGCTTCAGGCGAGGCCCCTCTCCAGGGGGTGGCCGTTGCCCCCACCAGGTCTAGCATTGCTGCTGAATCGGTCTCTGGTGCCCCTGGGAGTGGGCAGGACTTGTTTGAGAGTGGCCCGTCCTTCGCGGTGAGTGGCGAGACCTGGCGGGCAGCCCGGCCCGACTTCATCCAGAGTGCGATGCCGCGGGCGGTCGTCGAGCAGTCCATCGCCTTCCGCGTGGGCCAGCATTGCTCGCAGGATCTGGGCGGCGCCTACGGCAGGTGGGTTCAGCAGGTCGAGAAGGCCATTCGGAGTCACCACGACCTCGACACCCTCCCGGTACTCTCTCGCCGCAGCGCGGGGGCTTGGCTCCGGGAAGTGCCGTTCCAGCCGCGCATGAGGGAAGCCGCCGTCGCCCCGGGCCGCATCGCCTCCTGGTGGCTTCAGGTGGAGACCGTCTCGGCCAAGATTGTCAAGATCCTGCAGAGGCGACCCGGCGAGCTGGGCCTCCTCCGATCGCTGCGGGCCACTTGCGTTCGGCGTGCCGGCGTGGCACCGCCTCGTGCCTTACGTTGTCTTCGACGGCGGCGGCGGCGTGGGCCAGATTTGATGACGTGGAAGCAGGTCTTACACACGATGCGACATCCACGGCATCAAGATGTTGATCATTGGGCTGCACTGGCCAGCTCGGCGGAGGTGGGCGCTCGTCGGGCCCAGCATCAGGCGCTGTCCGCCTCGTTGTCTCGGTTTCAGGAATGGATCACTTCCCCGGAGGCCTCCACCACCCTCTTCAGGCCCCTCAAGAGGGTCGAGGCGGCGCCGTCCGAGGCGAAGCTCGGCGAGGAGATGCTGGTACACCCCCGCGACTTCATCGACCAGCGGGTTCGCCAGTGGCACGAGCTGTGGGCGCCTCAAGCCGCCGATGTCGATGGCATCGACACGCTTTTCCGTGACCTGCGCGAGCTCACCGGCGTCGAGGAGCTCGAGCCGCTGGACGTGGCGAGCCCCCGCAGGGCCTCGCGGTCGATGCGTCCGAGGGCCGGGCGCGGGGTCGATCAGATGACTCCGCTCGACTTCGAGCGCTTGCCTGACGAGGCGCTGCAGGAGCTTGTCGACCGCATGCGGGCGGCGGAGCTTGGCGGATCGTGGCCTTGGCAGGTGCTGCTGGTCATCGGGCGGCTGCTCGGGAAGAAGAGCGGTGGCGAGCGTGTCATTGGCCTGCTCAGCATGCCCGCGCGCGTTTGGAGCCAGGCGCGGGAGCAGGAGGTCAGGCAATGGGGCGCCTCTTCGGCCCTTGCTTGGGACGCTGCCGCCCCTGGCAACTCGGCGCTCCACGAGGCGATGGGGCGCGCCCTCGACGAGGAGGCCTACGCGGCGCTGCGCGCCAACTATTGCCACGCGATGCTGGACATCAAGAGCTTCTACGACTCCATGGGCTGGGTCAAGCTCGGACGGGCCGCCCTGAGGCTGGGGTTCCCCCCGGCCATCCTGGCGTCGGAGCTCCAGCAGTGCCTCGCCCCGCGCGTCCTTGTTCGCGATGGTGTCTGCTCGCTGGCCTTCCAGCCCACGCAGTCCATCGTGCAGGGCTTGAGGTCTGGCACGAGATTTGCGCGATGCCTGACCTACTTCATCATGGAGCGGGTGACGACGGGTTCCTCGCCTCGGTCATGCATCCAGCCGCCACGCCTTTGGATTGATGACTTGTCGGAGTCAGCGGTTGGGTCTCGCAGGGCGGTGCGCCAGCAGTTGGGCGACGTCGTCATTGCCACGTGCGACCTCCTGGTCCAGAGCGGCCTCAAGGTGTCCCCCAAGAGCGTCGTCGCATGCTCCGTCCACGAAGACGCCAAGGCCATCGCGGCCAGGGTGCGACGGCATGGGCGTCTCGTGCTGGCGGTCCCGCAAGCAACCTGCTTGGGGATCGACTTGGCCGCGGGGCGTCGGGCTGCCCGGACTACCCGGCGCTCGAGGTTGGCCAAGACTGGCCAGTCTCACTTTCGTGTGCGAGGTTTTGCCAAGGCCTCCAAGCGATATTCTGCGTGTCTGAAGCTTGAGCGGATGTCGTGCCAGGCGGGGGCCCACTACGGCCACCAGGTCTACGGGATGCTGGGCCAGGACAGGAAGCTCCTCAGACAGCGCATGGCAGCCGTGTCGGGGCCGACGCATGCTGGGAGATGTCTTACCACTCAGCTGCAGCTCCGCGTCGGCGACGGCGACCCCGCGAGGAAGCTGCCACGGGAACTCCTTCAGGGTTGGTTCACGATGTGGCAAGCTGATGCTGATCGGCGTCGCCGTGTCCTTCAGGTGTGGCCTAAGATTCTTCCCTCTGTACGTGATCGTGATGATGCTCTCCGCCGTCGCTACATGCGTGGGCCGATCTCGGCACTGATGGTCACGCTGCTCGAGTACAACTGGTACCCAGCGGGCCCCATGGGCTGGGAGCGGCGCCTGCCCGATGGAGGGCGCGAGTGTTGGACATTTCCCGACGTAGACGCTTTGGCCGACGGCTCCAGCAGGCGTCTCATCCAGGCCTTCGACGACACTGTGGTCGACTCGTTGTGGGAGGAGGCCTCTCACCACTGGCACGGTGGAGGTCTGGAGCAGGGCGCTGACCTGTCAGGCCTGCAGCGTTTCCCCCGTCAGCTGGGCAAGCCCCCTGGGGGTCATCGGCTCGAGGAGGTTATGGTGACCATTGCGGTCGGCGGCACTTGGCCCGGAGAGCGGCGCGAAGAGCTCGAGCCTGCGGCTGGCGATGGCGTCGACTTCTTGTGGGCATGTCAAGGAGACGGCTTTTCATCGTCACTGGGTTTGCGAGTGCAGCGCGGGCTCCGATGCGCACCAGGCCAGTGCCAAGTATGTTAGTCGGGCGTATGCGGAGGTCGACGCTTTCCCATGTTTCTGGCTTCGCGGGCTGGTCCCCCGATCCTGGACGGCGGTGTCTCCGCCGGTGGAGTTCGAATCCTGGGCGATCGACGGGATGAACGACGTGTTCTTCGGCCACGGGGACGTCGACGCGCCGCTCTTCGTGTTCGGCGACGCCTCGGGGGGGCCCGAGTACCTGCACCCCGAGCTGCGCAGGGTCGGCGTGGGCCTCGTGGTGATGGACGCGGGCTTTCTCGCCGCCTGCATGGTGATGCATGGGCCCCTCCCCGGCCGGCGTCAGACCGTGCACCGCGGCGAGCTCTTGGGCCTCATACGCTGCGTCGAGTGCGCGTCGGGCCAGGTGGTCTACGTGACGGACAACCTTGCTGTGCACGACGGCTGGTGGGAGCGCCAGGAGCAGTCGCCGCGCGGCGTGGACCGCGACCTGTGGTGGCGCCTCGGGCGGGCGGTTGAGAGCCAGAGCCCCCCCGGCAGATGGGCCATCACGGTGGTCCACATCAACTCCCACCTGGACGCGGAGACGATGATTGCCAGAGGGGTCTCAGCCGCGCTGGTTCGGGGCAGCGCTGCGGCAGACGAGGCTGCTGGCCGAGCTGCTGTTGTCGCCAGGCTTCCCGCCTGCCAGCGTGCCCGCGCTGGCCGCGCCGAGGCGGTGGCCACAGCGGTATGGTGGCGGCTCCTCCGGTCCACGCTGGACGCCATGGTGGCGGGCCCCAGGCGCCAGGCGAGCGGCCGTCGGCCGCGCCAGGCGCCTCCTGCGGCAGGCGTGGCTGCTGCTTTCTCCACCGCCCGCGTGCTGGACGACGACGGCCGCACCTGCCACGCGCAGGGCCTGGCTCGCCGCCCCGTGCTGGCCGCTCGTGCCGAAGGGGCCGGGCTTGCTCGTGGCCCCCGATGGCAGGCCCCTCGTCCAGGTCGGGGGCCAGGAGGCGGGCGCCAGCCACAAGATGGTTTTCCTGGGCGACCTCGGCGTGTGGCAGTGCGCCGCCCGCGGCTTCTTCGCCCCCGTCGAGGGCAGGGCGCTGGGCGCAGGGCTGGTGGCGGCGTGTCCACCCGAGGCGACGCCCACAGGGGCGGAGTACCTGCGGCGGACGGCTCGCGGGCTGTGGCCCAAGCCAGGCCGCCTCGCCGCTCGCCCTCGCGTCATCTTCCCCGTCGACACGAAGCGCGACGCGGAGCTGGAGGCGGCGTCGGCGGCGCGGACCTAAGGCTTCCAGTGGAAGGCCTGCTGGGGGACTTCTCCTTCGATGTCCTCTTCTGCGCGCACTACGGGGCCACATTTCGTGACAGAAGGCGCGCCGGGACTTCTCCTTCGACTTCCTCTTCTGGCGGGCCTGCGCGGCGCGCGCGACGGCGCGCCGCGCGAGGGCCCCCGCGGCCTGGGAGACCTGCGCCGTCATCCTCGATTCCTCGCTTCCTCCTCCTCTCCTCCTCCTCCTCCCTCTCCTCCTCTCCTCCTCCTCCTCCTCCTCCTCCTCCTCCTCCCCCCCCTCCCCCCCCTCCCCCCCCCCTCCCCCTCCCCCTCCTCCTCTGAGGGGCGCCTCCCCTCCGGGGGGCCTCCCAGGAGCCCTCCCCCCTGATGGCTGCCTCGAGATACGCCCGCTTTGACGCGCGGCACGTCCCGTGTTCAAAACGTCCGCGTCACCACGTTGCGTGCTGGCTCCACGTACTGGACCACGTGTTGGCGAGTGCATCGCGCTGGAGCTACGTTCTCAGCCTATACGTGTTGAGCTCCGTATGAATACGCTGCGTGTTGCGTGTTGCGTATCGGGGCAAGTAAGATTCCCCGAACTCCCCGCGGAGGCTCGCGTAGCTGTGCAGAAGTTCCAAGGGGACCCCATGACGGCCCCAGGAGGCCCCCAGGCTGCCCCAGGAAGTCTCCAGCAGTACAACGAGGCCCCAAGAAGCCGCCAGAGTGCTTGTGCATGACAGCCAGAAGGGCCACATCAGTCAAATACCTGAAGGCATCCCGTCGTGGTTTCCTTTCTTTTCTGGAGCCTCTGCTGGTTACTGCGCCGACATTGGCGCGTAAGAAGCCCGGTCAAGGTCGCGCGTCAGCGCCCTCGTCTCCAACGCAGCTTGCCGCGCTGGCGGCCCGCGTAAGCTGCGGCGTAAGATCGCTGCGTCATCTCGCGGAGGACCCGTTTTGGATCGTCGCTCAAATGGCCCCGAGGAGGAGGAGGAGGAGGAGGAGGAGGAGGAGGAGGAGGAAAAGGAGGAGGAGGATCGAGGAGGAGTGGGAGGAGAAGGAGGAGGAGGAGGAGAAAGAGGAGGATCGAGGAGGAGGAGGAGGAGGAGGAGGAGGAGGAGGAAGTGGAGGAGGAGGACGAGGAGGAGGAGGAGGAGGAGGAGGAGGAGGACCATCACATGTTAATGAGGAAGGCTAGGGTTAGGCCGACCCGACCCTAACCGAAACCTGAGGGTTACATCCGCTCTCCCCTTACGTTCACTTTCGTCACTACGTCGCCCCTCCTTCCTTGAGGAGCTGGGCCGCAGGGATGGGCAGGGAAAGTCGGGGCCGGGCCTTCATACTACTCTTGGGATGACGGCCGCTTGCCAGGAGGGACTACGCACCTTGGGAGAACTTGCTTTGGAAGCGCTCCTTGCA